CTGTTTGGAAAATAGTCTGGCAGTTTCTCAAAATGTTAAAGATGGAATTACCATATGCCCCAGAAATTCCACTCCTAGGTAGATGCCCAAGAGAAATGCAAACACATGCCCACACAAAGACTGGTACATGAATGTTCATAGCAGAACTATTCATCATCGCCAAGAAGTGAAAACAACTCAAATGTCCATTAACAATGAATAAATAACAAAACCAGATATGTTCATATAATGTCCTTATGTCCAAATGTTATTCAGCTGTAAGGAGAAATAAAGTTGATGCATGCTACAACATGAATGGACCTTGAAAACATTATGCTAAGTCAAAAAGGCCTGTAGCAAAAGACCATGTCTTATATTATCCTATTTATGTGAAATGCTCATAGAGACAGAAAGTAGATTGGTAATTTCCAGGGGTTATAGAGAGAAGGAAATGGGGAATGACTGTTAAGAGAGCTGGATTTTTCGAGGGGAGTGATGAAGTATTCTGGAATTAGATATTGATGATCAATGCACAACTCATAAATATACTAAATGCCACTTTTAAACAAGGGTGAAGTTTATGATATGTGAATTATATTTCTCAAAAAAACTGTTACTTAAAACAATATAGGGAAATATATTACCCTGATTTAATCACTCCGATAATAACATAATCACAATTAAAGTAAGGAATAAGCCAAGTTTTAACCAGCTAGGTAACCTTGAACAAGTTACTTATTTCTGTCTTTTGTTTTTCACCTGCCCAATGAGGATAATGATAATACAGACTTCCAAACGTCATTGTAATGATTAAATGGGAATACACGTAAACCTTTTGGAAGATGGCTTATCACACAGTCAGTGTCCAAAAAATGTTGGCAATTATTATAACTATTAACTTGCAAGTGTAATTTGTGTGGCTGAAGAGCACTTGGTTGTAGTGACTTTCTCTAGGCATCACTTCAATTAGTCCACATTCAACTCAGAGAAAAGATGGACAGTGCTATCCCCTGAGAAGAGTTGAGGAGACCAATAGCACAACAAATTTTATGAGTAAGAAACAAATATGATTACTCAGCAATAATCTTCATAAAAATGGATGAAACCCACCTAATTCAGTTGACCTCGAGGAAAACAGGAAGGAAGAACTTCTCCCATGAGTTGGGAAGGTGATACAAATATTTTATGTTATTATGATCTTATAAATCAAGGCAAGGGTATCCTTTTATGATCAAGGTAAGAATTTATGTTGCAATGGCAACTGAAAGACAGCTGACAATGAACAAAAATGAGGAGGGCTGGACACAGTGTCTCATGCTTATAATCTCAGCACTTTGGGAGGCTGAGGCGGACAGATTGGTAGAGCCCAGAAGTTTGAGACCAGTCTGGACAACATAGTGAGTTCCTGTCTCCACAAAAATAAAAATAGAACAATTAGGCAGTCATGGTGGCGTGTACCTGTAGTCCCAGCTACATGGGAGGCTGAGGTGGGAGGATCACTAGAGCCTGGGCTGTTGAGGCTGCAGTGTACTATAATTGCACCACTGCACTGTGGCCTGGGTGATAGAGCAGGTCCTTGTCTGTATTTAAAAATATATATGAATCATTCTTGCTCAAGTTGGGATAATCAGAAATCCAGTTGCCTAATCAACTTTTGCTCAGAAAGGTTTTTATGGCCCGGGGTCTTTCAGCAAGCAAGTGAATGCAACAGAATCTTTGGGAAAACTGAGGCTTCCTTCTTTGACTAGCAATATTCAGGTAGAAATGTTTCTAAAATTCTAAAGTTTTAAACACTCTTTTCCCTTTCACCGAGGCTATTACTTCACCTTCCCCTGGCGGCTTTATGAAGTCCATAGTGTCCACTACCAAGCTGTGAGTCTCTGCCCTGCACTTCATGGGGCTCTGCAGGGTCTGGCATTGGCAGTTTAAAGAGTTCTAGAGGAAGGGTATTATCAAGGGCACTAAGGGCCCAGTTCAACATTCATTTTAAAGGACTGTAATCTTTACAAGGCTCCAGATTCTCATTTTCCTCTAAACTGGACAGTGAATTTCCTGAAGACAGACATTCTAAAAATCCTTCTTCTCCTTCATTTGTTTATCCTTGGCTCTGAGCACAGGGTCTTGCATATTCAGTGGCCATGTGAGGAATGAGTGCATGGAAATGTTTGGGGACCACCTTTCTGATGGAGGGTTTGAAGGCATATAATCCTGCTTTTTGTCAGAAAGTTGTGAGGGTGTTGGCAACAAATGTAGAGTTAGAAGAATTCCAATCAACAATTCCTTCTCTTCTGTCCCCTCTTCCACACACTTCTTCCTCTTCCCACCAGCTGTGAGAGAGCGGACCTCGCTGCTTCCTGAGACACTTCCCACATGCAGCGCTTTCAGTAGGTACACCCCAGGATTCCCTATCAGGAGACATTTCCTCCCCAGCTTCTGGAGCCATTGGTCTGAAGGATGATGTTAACATCAGAGTCAGTCCGTTGCCAGATTTGTCACCACCAACGAGAGATGTCTCAAAATTACAGCTCTCCCTTGGGGTTAGGTCACATCCAGGGACTGTTTGATGTGGGAATTCCAAGACCTGAACCGACTTCAGGACAACTCTGAAGAGCTATTTTAGTTCCAGAGCTCTCAGTGGGATCCCCTAGGTCTTCTTTCATGGCTGCAGCACAGCCTGCCTTCTCCCTGCCAACCCCACTGCCTTCCTCTCTTGCTGATCTTTTTGCCAAGAGCACTCCTCAATAAACTCCCCTGCACACACATATCTAATCCTGTCTCCCCAAAAAGCCAACTTCCAACAGTGAGGCACCAAGTTGGACTGCCTTCAGCACTTGTTTTAGCACACAGGCAGGGCTCAGAAAGCGTTCACCACAAGGCTGGACTCCTCCTGCACCTACCTTCCTTGCTATTATGACAACAGGTGAGTAAGTCACCTAGGTAGAGTTAGCCAGAAGAAGTTATGAGTTGCTGGGAAAATGGGTGTTAAATCATCCTCAAACCTAATCAACAACAGAGTCTCCAAGCTCTTGGGGCCTTAAGAATTTGTGTGGGCAACCAAAGTGAACCTCTGTGAATCATAGAGATGACCACATATTTCTTGACCCTTATCATCAAAATGAGGTGTCTACGCCCCCTACCTTTGAGTCTGGATGGAGGAACCTGTGAATACTTTGAGCAATGGAGGATGGCAAGCGATGCTGTGCCTGTTTCCTGACCCAAAATTTGAAAGATTGGCAACTTCTAGTTCCTGTCTTTTGGAGTTCTCTCTGGGATTCCTAGGCTGCCAAGGAAGAAGGCCTACTACCCAAGACTGCCATATGTGGGCACTCTGATGGCACTCCCAGATCAGCCAACTGTCTAGCCATTCCCTCACCCCCAAGGTGCCAAACATGTGAGTGAAACTGTTTTTGTCAGTCCCAGATCCATCAATCCACCATGTGAACACCACCTCCTAACCTCAGTCACTTCTACATGGAGAAGAAGAATCACCAGCCAGATCTGAACAAATTTTTGACCCATAAAATCATAATACAACAAAATGGTTATTATTGTAATTTTTGATGCAGCAATGGAAAACCAGAACAACCCCATCCTGAAATCCCCCCAACACCTCATTTTTACTCTCCATGACCTCATTGAGAACAGGGCAGAGAAAGGAATGAGTATCTCCTGTCCATTTTACCGAAACGAAGGTCCAAGGATCTTAGGTTTGACAACTTGCTCAAACATTTAGTTTGCAACAAACCCAGAAGTAAAACTGATTTCATCTGAGCTTTTCTCAAGTGCATTTCCATTTGATAGGCATTAGGATTTTGTTTTGAGAAAAATGAAAGGGTGGTAAATAATTATTTAAGGAAACCAAATGCTGGATGAGGATGATCTCCCAGGCATGATTCAAAGGGCCACACACCTCTGCTTCTAGGTCTCTGGAAAATAGAGTCTCAGGGAATCTGGGTCTTAATTAAAACAAGACTTTGAAAGTCAAGGTGGATCTCCTAACATGGACAATGACCTGAGGCCATGATTTTGAGGAAGTAGAACTAATTCAGATATTTTTCCATGTTGTCTCCAGAAACAATTAAGTGTCAGAATCTGTGTTAAGATTTTCCATTTGCAGCATGTGGCCTCCAAACTTATCCTAGAGTTCTTTTCCTGGCTTCTCAAGCTAGGATTCTATTTTGAGGTCTGCTCATCGAGCAATTACTTACTACTGGGAGTTCTGAGTCTCTGTGGCTTTATGGACTGCACCATCTAAATGCCACCACTGTTATAAGAATTCACATGTTATGAGAGCTACAATGTGAATATCAACAATCTTCCCTTACTTCCTACTGACATCCAAACAAACAAACAAAAAAACCTTGGAAATAAAACACTTCATTAAGAGATAAGCCAAGAAGCCATATCAGTGCTCAGTGTTTCCAGGTGATCGCCAAATTTGGATTCTCTGAGAGACGGAAGAAAGCTAAGATGGTTGAGTCCTTACTGTGTGCAAATGCCACAGACTTACATGCACGGTCACAATTTTCACAATAGCCCTATGAGGTGGGTCTTATTAGCTTCAGTTCACCAATAAGGGCACAGAAGCTTGGAGGGGGTTAAGTAGCTTGCTCCCGGTTTTGCAGCCAGTAAGAAACAGGTGAGAAGGGTAGGAGGTGGGCAGTGAATCAAACTCAGATGTGTCTGTCTGAGGTCAAAGCCCATGAAAAGCAGTGAAATTTTCAGGTTAAAATAGCCGGAAATAATAGTTGCCTATACAAGAAGCAAAAATTCCAATCACCAATGAGGTGGAAGAGTTTTATGCCCAATTTAAACTCATATGCTTTTTATTCACAAAGATGTATGTAGTGTCAATGTCAACCCTTAGACTCTACATTTTTCTATGTCAGTGAGGTTACTGGTACCTTACTTGGAATCTTACAACTCTTGATATCATCAAACATGCGATTGATTATGCAAGCAAAGTATTGGACCCCATTGTTATGTCTATATAAAAAATACAAAAATATTTATTTACGTACCTACACAGGTGTGGCCATTGGAGTGGCTGAGCCTGGACTGGTCTTCGTAGAGTGGAGAAGCCAAGGACTGAAGGGGCGGAAGAAAGAATAGAGGCGCCACCATAAAGACTTTCCAGGGGGACTGCATCTCTGAGCTATGCACCCCAAATGGTCACCTGACTCCAAAAGCTACCAGCTGAGGGATACTGAAGTTGAGACCGCAGAATCAATTGGTCTCTCTTTCTCGCTCTCTTTGACACACACGCTACCCTCTCACATACACACTTTTCAATAAGTGTGAAGTGACTAAAAGCACGCATAAACACTCACAGACCCACAGCTTGCTCTTGTGGGATCCTGAGAGAGCCACACACGAAGAGCTGGGGAGAGTCCCGGGTGTGCAGTTCTGCTGAGCTAAAAACTGCAGGATAAAAAAAAAAACCCAAGTTGCACAGCGGCAGCAACTTCCGTGCTCCCTGGCTGAAGTCAGTGACCATAAACCACGGGAGCCTCGAGGCTTGCCGGAACTGATCTGTTGGGTTGGTTAGGAGGCCCTTCCCCTTTCATTCTTGCAAAATAAAACAAAACTAAAGCTAAAACGGAGAAGAAAAAGAAAAAAAACTAAGCCACAAGCACACAACCCTTTAACAATTTGATCAGCAGCACCCACATATTGTAGACATTATAAGTGATTACATTCAGGAGTTATTTAGTCTTGTTTTAAACAGCTCTATATGGTGAGGTTGTGCTCCTTATTTTGTTGTTAAAGAATATTCTGGTCACATAATATCTTTCCTCTGGAGAAGTTGGGTTATTCCTTGGAGGGTCAAGGCCTTTCATTTGGTGTGCAGAAGATAAGCAATGCAGAAAATAATGGGCAGTTAGCATGGTGGGATTTTAGATCTAATGAGAAAGAACGTGGGTTAGAATTAATCAATTCGTATTTGCTAGGCTGCCTGTGCACAGTGCATCTTTTTTTCTCCAGAATTTCAAAGTGCATTTACATTTCCTACCTGTGGATGATTTGTTCCTTGTCAAGAGACTGATTTTCTGCTCTGAAGAAGAGAGCTGAACACTGTCTTTCTGAGTGGGAAAAAAAATTCGAACCAGATCATACGTAAAAGACATATATAACCTAAATGCTTCGCTCTAAAATAGGATACAACAAAGTCATATGCCGTTCTCAGACAAGAGGACAGGACACAGCCTAGATAAATGTGGGAGGTCATGTGATTCTGTTTCTCTCTGCTTAGGCTCTGAGGGAGCTTATTTACAAATTTCGAAACATTATGGAAGCTATCTAAATTGTTAGCAATTAAAAAAATTAGCATTTGGAGTAGCAGGTAAAGTTTTAGAGTACCATCCTTTTCAGGATGGAGGAAATACCAATTTTTATGGTTTGAAGATTTCTTGTGCAGGTATTAGTCTTACAAGTACTGATGGGGATACAATTCTCAGATCTGCAGCAGAGATAGCACAAGTCAGAGTGTTTCCCCAGTTACGCCCCTGGCCCGATACTGAGGATATTGTTGGGTATCTTGGGTCACGCATAAATCTGTGACTTCCTCTGGGTCTAAGGTGCTGCTGCCTCAGTCCCTCACTCAGGTCACGAGGATCACCTGAGGGGTGGGGCCTAGAGAAGTTCCAGAGACATCCAAGGGAGGCTAACTAAAGGACTGCTTAGGAACCCAGATTGTGAAGACTGAAAGGCTCATGTTTATATCTCATATCTACTGTTTATTTCTGAGTAATGTATTACACCAATGATGTAACTTTCCCCCCTTCAGCGTCTTTTTTTTTTTTTTTTTGAGACATGGTCTCACTTTTTCATCCAGGCTAGAGTGCAGTGGTGCGATCACAGCTCGCTGCAGTGTCGACCTCCTGGGTTCAAGTGATCTTCCCACCTCAGCCTCCCAAGTAGCTCCTTTCTTTTGGGGTAATGGTAATATCTGCTCCATAGCACTGCTAGAAACACTCAAATAGAGGGTGTATCCAAACTGCAAAGCAGCATGGCTGGTGAGAAGTAAGTGCTTAGTGCATCTGGCTATGACCCTAGTGGGAATGCGATGAAATCTGCACCCCAGGCCAGCTTCAAGAGAATTCCAAGACACCCATGGTAGTTGTAGGCCAACATGTCACACATGGGAAATGGCGAGGATAGGAAAAGGCAGCATTTATTGAATGTCTTTCAGGTATGCTTGAGCACTCCAGGAGTGCGTGGTCTAGTCTGTCTAATCCATAGATGCGTGAGGACTCTTCAGGAGGCTTCTGGAAGAGCATTCGACACAGGCTTTCGGCCTCTTGAGGCTCTCCTGGTCTCCCGGTATACCTGTGAGCAGGTCTGGAAACACTCAGAGTGACAGAAATTTCTTGGTATGCCGAAGTATAAGTTTTATGCCCTTCTTCGCATGTATGTGGGCCAGGTAGTGCCATTCACAATCATCCCAGGGATGTGCAGCCCCGAAACTCCGTTGTGCTCAGGCTTTGGGGCTGGTCACAGTGGGCATCACTGTGGGCATCACTGACTTAGCTGTGCAGTATTGGAGCAAGTCCCATCCTGTTTCTAGAGGCGAGCGTTCTCAGCTGGAAAAGAGAGTGAGACTCTCTACTTTGTAGGCGTACGCCATAGTAGTACCTGGCACATAGGTTTTCAGTAAATGGAAGAAATTTTCATGCTTGGAGAGCAAGTTCTTACTGGGCAAGATCAAAGGAAGAATGCAGAAATCAGAAAGTGATTTTGCCAACAGAAGCTGCCACAAACTACATGTGTGCACAGACCACCGAACAAAACATCCCTTTCCATCACCAGGATGGGGTGGACCCTCCCATTTGCACAGGTGTCCTTCACACTGGCTGATAACATTGCCTCTGACAGGGCTGCCTTTGCTCATCAAGTACTGTGTGCAAATGACTCGGGATCTTTGCACAGCTTCCCCAAAAGCCCTGGACCTACCTGTGGTTTACAACAACTAGTCAGGCCCTGGAGAATGTTCCAATTTTGAATCATCTCAAAATCTGCTCTTGAAAATGAGATTTCTCCTGAGAAGCACTTTGTTACTGATTTCACTCAGTGAGCTCTGATTCAATCCACTGCTCCCCCCGTGCCACAGGAGGCTGTTTTGTGATCCCCAAGTGTTGCATCTGTGGTCTAGTTTGTTCAGTATTTTTTTGATCTGCATTGACCTCACACATCTTGTCTTGGGCTTTATCCTTTCTCTAAGGCCCAGGTCCACGCTGCCCTGCTACTCCTGGCTGCCCAGGACCGTGTATAGTAGTCCTCAGTTCCCATCTACCAAACTCAGGCTCTCTGCTGCTCCTCTCCTCCTGGGTCAGAGCTTATTAATACTAGCCCCATTCTATTCTGCTTCTGCTCTCTGCTAAGGATAGGGTAAATTAACCCATGCTGAGGATGCATGGGGGCTCATTAAAAGAGTTCTGGGCTCAGTATAGGGGTCCTATATAATGGCTTCCCCTCCTAGTAGCTGTGTGCCCTGGGCAAGCTGCTCCACGTTTCAGAATACCAATTCTTTAACTGTAAAATAGGGCATATAATGCCAATATTTAAGAAAGCTGTGAGAATTAGAGAGACAAGATGAATTTAAAAACACAATATTAACGGTTAGATGAATGTGAAGCAGACAATGAATTCACATTATTCTTTACAGGCAGCGTTGAAATTTTGGGGGAATGTCTTTAAATCAAGATTTTAAAAATTGCTACATAATAACTGTACATATTTCTGGTGTACATGTGACGTTTTGATATGTGCATCCAATGTGCAATAATCAAATCATGCAATTAGGATATCCATCATCTCAAATAGGTATCATTTCTTTGTGTTGGAAATATTTAAAATTCTAGCTATTTGGAAATACGTATATCCTAAATTGTTGTTAACTGGAGTCATCCTACTGTGCTATTCAATACCAGAACTTATTCCATCTAACTGTATTTTTGTACCCATTAACCAATCTCTCTTTATTCACCCTTTTCCACCCTTCCAAGTCTCTGGTATCTATCAATCACTGTTCTCTACCTCCATGAGATCACCTTCTTTAGCCCCCACAAATGGGTGAGAACATGCAGAGTTTGTCTTCCTATGCCTGGCTTATTTAACTTAACATAATAACCTCCAGTTTCATCATGTCGATGCAATTGACAGGCGTTTCTTCTTTTTAATGGCCAGATAGTATTCCATTGTGTATATGTAACACATTTTCTTTATCCATTCATCTGTTGATGGACACTTAAGTTGACTTCATATCTTGACTGCTGTGACTAGTGCTGCAATAAACATGAGTTTATACTACAAAGTGTGTCAATTTACATTTCCAATATACTGATTTTCTTTCTTTTGAATACATATCCAGCAGTATGTATTCAAAAGAAAGATTATATGTTAGATCTATTTTTAGTTGTTTGAGGAAACTCCATACTGTTTCCTATAGTGGGCTGTACCATTTATAATCCCACTAACAGTGTTTTAGTGGTGCCCTTTCAAAGCATCCTTACCACCGTCAGTTATTTTTGTCTTTTTGATGATAGCCATTTTGGAGATTTATTCACACCCTTCAAGAACGGGGTTTTTTGTGACACTTTCATTCAATATCTAGAAACATTACATACATTGGGAAAAGTATGCCATATATAATCACAATTTTCTTCTAAAGACGAAGAATTATATTAAATAGAAGTTCTTTTGCCTGTTGGGCACCTGGTAGAAAGTTTGGGGAAAGGAGCCATGGCGAGTGAATTGCTTTTTTATGTAATGTGGAAGAATTTGGACACATAGAGGGGATAAGAGTAGAGAATGGTTAGAGAGAAGGGAGAAGCAGAAACTGATGAGATACCAGATTCTTCTTGGCTAAAGCCATGAGAGAAGTGTTGGCAGGTTGGGGGGCAACATGACCAGAGCTAATAGGAAGGTCTTATGCAATTTTGTAAGTTTGCTGTGCTATGCATGGGAGAAATGGTGCTTTGCCCAGATTGTGAATGGCTTTTTGTGGAAACCAATGAGGAAGCTGAGATGTTTGAATCAGAAGAAGACAGACCTAAGGAGACACGAGTAGAAACAAGTGCAAAGGTGGAGCGGTCATGCAAACATATACCTCAGGCATTAGCAAGTATAATATCTTGGGGAGGGCTTTAGACGTACACATGCTACAAATTGGGGGCAGAGTGGGATTAAGCTACCTTTACCTAACCCTCCAAAGCATAGAGTTAATTTTGAATGCACGTAACAGAATAAAACAAAATAAATATAGCATAAACAAGCTTGACGTTTATTTATTCATTCATTTAAGTCCAGAGGTGGACAGTACAGAGCTGGTATGGCAATCCCATGATGTCTTCAGTGATCTAAACTCCTAATTTCTTGTCCCACTCTTTTAGAGCTGACTTGGATCCTTACAACGAGCTAAAGGTCTAAAAGGATTGCTAGAGCTCTAGTCATCATGCCTGTGTTCACTTATAGGAGCTTCTCCCAAAAGTCTCCCCTGACACTTTGCTAACATCTCATTGGCCATGCCTAG